ATAGAAATCTCTTCAAAGTTCCTGATGTAGTACAATGAAGGTAAAAAAGTGTAGCCAACACTAAACTCCTATACTACTCAATTTATCCAGATTAAAGTGTCTCAAAATGTCCTAAAATTTTAGGAAACCTTTTTTTTGCCAAACCATAGCATTGCCTTAAGTGAAACCTAACATATAAGCTCACCTACCCATAACTAAATGCTCTTAGCCTATTATCTAGTTGCAGAACCACACCAAGCCCTTTTAACAGCTTAAATTGCCCAACTGCAAATTATTAATTCTAAGTCATAAAGACCCCTAGGATTTAGCATCCATATATACTCCATAACCCAAAGCATCCAGACACCAATTCCCAAGTTCTGCACATGGCCATAATAAACCCTACTTATCTTTTTACTTGTTTCCTATTAAACACTTCTTATGGCCAGCAGGCACACTATTTCCCGCATTATTTTCTATCATTCTGCCTCAGTGAGCTGGACTGTAGAGGTTTCCAAAGGGCTAAGACTGAAGGGTGGAAAACAGCAATAACAGCCCCAATACTTGGAAAACAGAAGGTAAGTAAGCCACTTCTCTACTCCAGATTTCAAGATGAAAAGCTTTTACATATCAGTGACTTGGTGAACAAGGATGACTTCTGGCCAACTTAAGATCAGTAGCTAACACAACCAGCATGCAAATTAATCCTAAAGTGCCTTGTATGGAAGTCATTGTCTGAAGAGCCTCAGTTCTAAAAACAACCCCTACCAACAACCAATAACGGTGCTTTTCAAGACTGCCAATGATACACCATGACTTAGGGACTACTTAGGTATCATTTTTTTATGCTTCCACCCACCCATCCTTCCTTAATAGCACACTACCAAGTCTTCCCTAGTGCCACAGCATTTAGTCAATTATGTTATAGACCATCCATGCCTTTTATGATTTAGAGATAACCTTACCATTTGTGATCAAGTTCAGTCTCTTTTTAATAGTCCAGGAGACTTGGCAATCACTCTCCAACAAGTCCACAAATTTTTAAAACTAAGACCCAGAGAGTGAATATTTTAGGCCATGTCTGTCACATACTCTTATTTACACAACCCTTAAAAAGAAAATCCATTCTTAGCTTGCAGGTCATATGAAGACAAAATTAAAAGATTCAAGAGTGAGATAAGGGTCAAAGGCTCTCTCCTTTAATCCCTCAATTACATCCCAGCATTAGCTATATGAAGGAAGTCCTTTTAATTTGTAAAGCCAATCTGCACACTAACCTCTATTACATCACTACCTAACTACACGTAATAGGCAGTGCTGCAAAAAGCAAAGTTTTTCAAATCTGGGGAACTAGTAAGTTAGCACACAGGAGTTCCAGTGACCGCTAGGTACCATTTAGGAAAAGTCTTTTGATGGCTAAGAATAGCCACCCTAAAAAATTATCTGTAACTGTGGACACCAACCAAATTGAAGAGGACCAGGGCTTATTTTCAGGGACAGTGTAACAGCAGCTAGTGAACAAACTTCCAAGGCAGAAAATGGGAGTTCAAACCTTAGCTCTGCCACTTTCCATGCTTCCTGAGGCAAGTTACTCCACTTCTCTGTGCCTCAATATAGTATTGACACCTCAAAGATTTTGAGGATTAAATGGCCTAGTTCACGTAAAGCATTTACAATAATGTCTGGTGTAAGCGCTTGAGAAACATTAGCTTTCTTATGTGTCACCACTGTGTCAAGGAAGTCACCTTCATCAGTTACATACACAGGGAATCCCCAAAAGACAGACTAAATCTGACAGCCACAACTAACTATTTTTCCTGAAGATAACTAAACCCTTCCGTGGCCTAGTTTATTATACCTCTTCTTGGACCATGCGTAATAAACTCAAATGCACAGGCCAGGCAGGAAGAGCAGGCAGGCAGGGAGGTCAACAACAGGAGAAAACCAAACCTGACAGACTGTGGTAAATAAAGAGAATGTATGCCCCACTGAAAGGTGGCAATAATACTCGTGGCCATCTGATTTTATTTACATGGGAGTTTAGGTCCCAAAGCTAAAATTCAGATCCTAAAAGATGGTAATCTGAACATTTTGGAGATTATCTCCCCAATTTTAAACAGCAGCAATTCATTCCAATTCTTTCTAAGACACTGTGTTAACCAAACCAAACATCTGGGGGTAGATTCAGTTAGTAAGTCACCAGCCTATGTCCTCTGCCCTATTGGATTCTCTTTGCTCCAAATTCCTTGCCCACCCCAAAACTCTACAATGATTAAGCATTTTTAAGTACTCTGGAGAAGAGAGAAGTATTCCTATGTGATCACTATGAAAGACACATGTCCCGATGAAAAACTGTTAAAATTGTTACTAATTCATGCCAACTTTTCACGATACTTGACCAGCATGGATTAATCCTCAACAGAAAGAAGCAAAAGACAAAATCGGGTTTCCAGACTTAAAAAGCAGAGAACCACCCCCTGAAACCACTGACCCCTGTGGCATCCTTATGATGACATCTTCCAACAGTTTTGAGTGAAGCTTTTCATAGTAAAATGAAATGGGAGGGGTGTTAATAAACCCCTCTAGTCACATAATCCAATTATTGTTTTCAAGACACAGCATACTGAAGAACCATGAATTTCTCAGAATTCTTAGATTCTGTAGCCAAAATGTTTGAGGCTCTAAAGCTCTACACTTGTACTTAGCACCTTTTACCCAAGAAAACCATCAGAACAAAATCCTTTAAAAAACAATTCTGATAAGGCTACATTATTTTCACAGGTAAGTAATTTAGATCAAAATATTTACAACGAAAATACGTTTCTTTAAAATCAAAGTTTACATAAAAATTATCTTCTATTTTCATTACAAAAATCTTAAGAACGAGAATATAATTCACAGAACTCCAAGGTTAAAATTATAGTCACAGCAATCATCTCAAACACTACATCCTCTCCTTTCTACAGAAGCAGCATGTGTCTGCTTCCCCCCAGGCTCCCACCAAGAGCCAAGCGCCTACACACCCAACCAACTTGCAAACTACCAGACTACAGTTTTTTAAGACCCACATTTTCCCTTAATCAAGGCAAACCTCTCCTGGACTTAATTGCAGTCACATTTCACAGTGACTTGAAAATCTTAGAATCATCGAAATAACCAGTTTAGGAACACAAAGCACATTTAAACCAGTTAACTTGACAAAATAGTTGAGGTTAGGACAGTCCAAAGGATCAAGTCAATTTACATTTAACTTGCCCTGGCGGACTACCAATAGGGTTGATTCCAAGTTGGAAAAGAGATAGTCAAGGAATGGCATCTCATAAAATAATTTAGAGTATGTACATAAACTACTTTTATCTTACATTATCAATTCACTTCAAAAATCATAACCTTTGTCCATTTAACAAGATGCAGCAAAACATAAGGCACATGGTACAGTATCTGAAGCACACACAAACTACAATCTTACCACAGAAAAGCTGCAAATTACAGTCCCTTCTAATGTGTACACCAGCATTACATTGGGTAAAGGATTAAAGGCAGTGTTTTTCAAAGTATGGCCCACCAGACATAATCACCTGGAATTCTTGTTAAAAATGTACCCCGGACCCAATGAATCCAGGCTGGGAAGAACTCAGAAACTTGTATTTTTTAACAAACTTCCACGATAATAAGCCTACTTTAATTTGAAATCTATTGGTTTAAGGGTTAGGACAGTAAGGAAAAGTCAGAGGGAAATGCTAACATTCAAAGATCAACTAAGAAGTGGTCAAATATAAGCACCCACGCATTCCCTTCCTTCATCACTAGTAACCCATTATTAAAAAACTGATGAAAAATGTAACCTTGGCATGTCACAAAAGCAGTGTAAGAGTAGATGGAAAATTCCCAAAGATTTTGGAAGAAACAATGTTTCCCCACAATTGCAAACGTGGAAAACAGACCATCAAATGCTTACAATCTCTTCTGCTTTGAACATTTCCACAATACTTTACAGTTGAGTAATGAAAGGGTTTCATCAGCCAATTATGTATGTCTTTAAGCTTGATCTTGCCCACTTGGTTTCTTGCAGTAGTGTCCATTTCACATGCATTCAGCATTATTTCTAACTCTTAGGTGTTCTTTTAAAACATCTGGTTGTTTAATGCCTTCTAAAGTTAAGAATTTAAGAAAACACCAAGATGACACTATCCTACCTGTACGACCAATATGCTATGAGCACACATCATGCTCTACACCCATAAAACTGCACTAGTAGCCTTGCTTGGCAGCCATCTTGAAAATGATGCCCGGCTCACAAGGGAGACCATGAAGAAGAGTACAGTGTGTAAAACTGCACGTTACCATTACTATTGCTACAAACGATTCTAAGGACTAATCCTAAAGATGGGGACAAAAAAGTATGAGAAATAAAAACTGAGAAAGAGAAAGGGGCAATTTCTTCCAGATGTTACTACAGGAATAAAAACTACTGTAATCCTAATGGGAAATTTATCCAAAGCATTCAAGACAGCATACATTGAAACGTTAAACAAAGGCGCTCTAACCTTAACAGTCAAGATGACAAATCTTGCACTGCCAAATCTTACCTCTAAAGGTTAACGTGTTAGAAATAACCTATATATACACTTCTCAGTGGGTCACATCACGTTTTTCATTACCAATTTCAATAACGTATAAAAGAGTGACAAGGATAAAAATGCGCCTGAGAATGAGACTAGGTCCCAGTTTCCTCAGTTTGCCCTGTTAAGAGTTGCCTCACTCACTGCACTTGCCTTTTAAATTGCTCCATACCTAAAATGCCTATCAAATTGGTTTTAGATTAATATTTAGCTGCAAAACAAAGACCATCTCTACAGATTGTCTAAATTCCTAATCCCTTCAGTCTTCAAGGAAAGCAAAATCTCACTACCAAGAAGTAGCAAGCTGCACATGCTTACACCCTTCCAAGTCCGCAGAGCCTACCCACGGAGCAGAGCATGCAAAAGATAGCACGGAGACTACGGTGGCGGTCATCTCACCTGTTGATGAAACCATATCCGTTTCTTACATTGAACCATTTTACTGTTCCCAAAACCTTCGTTGCTGGAGAAAAAAAAAAAACAAAAAAAACACAGAAACACAAAAAACCCTCGATTACCAGACGTCCTTTCTTAAACCCGCCACGCTTGGGTATCCGACCCCGCGCGCGCTCCGCCGCGGCCCGCGACCACCTGACAGCCTTTCTCCTCCGAGGCCGCGCGCGGGCCCCACAGCACACGTGGGTGGGCTCGGGGCGGCGGAGGCCCCGCAGGCAGGCCCGGGGCGCGGAGCCGGCGGGCGGGCGCGGCTGCTGGGCGGGGAGCACGTGAGGGAACGGGAAGCGCCCGGCCCACTTGGGCCTGCGTAGGCGGCGCGCCGCGCCCTCAGGATACACGCGGAAGGGAGCGGGCTTGGGGGACGGAACAACGGCGTGCGGGCCTGAGCGCACGCGGCCGCCGGGGAGGGGAGGGACCCCGCCGCACACGCGGTCGGCGGCG